TTATAGAACACGACAGCCAGAGAGAGGGTATAGCTTAGTGGTAGACTTGCATGCAGGTACTAATTGTTATTGCAATTACATCACAATATCACACACGAGCCATGACGAACCATGCAAGGTTAGATTTACTATACCCACATAATGTATTATAAAGCTGAGGCACAGAGAGGTTAAGTAGTAGATCACAGGGTTAGTTAAGCAGTGGAGCGGGGATTAAAACCTAAATCCATTTGACTCCAGAGTCAGCCCATGCACCTCACACTGTGACGTGCTGCCTGGGGATTAACCAGTAATCAGAGATGCTGCAGAACAAACTGAGTTGGACCCTTCAAGGAGCTTGACATTAGGCCCTTCAGTGGAAGAACGTGGTTTCCCACAGACAGGAAATGGGAGCTTAATAGGAGACAGGAGGAAAAGGAGAGATGAGAAGTCTGGCTCTGACAGTGGAACATATTAGTGTGGGGCAAACAAAGTTTCAGAGGGGAACGTAGCCCATCTGACAAGAGGATAAAGGACGACAGAAAGGAATGAGCAGAGTTAACCAATATAGGAAGGTGCTCAGTGTCCCTCTTTGAGGATGTGAGATGTCCTCATGAATGTTTTCCTTGCATTGTGACTTCCTGCTTCCTGATGTTAAAGGATAAGGTAGTCAGTACTTTAAGACTATGAAGAGGCTCCCCAAGAAATTGTAGTTAAGGAAAACATGATGCCCTTTGAAAAACAATGAAGCAAGAGTTGATGGCAACCTAACCGACGGGGCAGAGACAGTATTTCTTTTTAATGGGAATTTCTTCAAGTTTGTGTAAAAACATAAAACCTAGTCAAAGAAAACCTCCACAATGAGTCAAGAAAGTCAAGGCTCCTGACCAAATTTTAAGTCACTAAAACAATCAAACATAAGCCAAATGCTAAGTCTGAAGTTTAACAGGCATAAATCTTAACAGAGGGGTTAAAAGTAAAGATCTAAAAGGAGGCTGAGGTCTCCAATCAAACTAAATGCAGTTAAAGCCCTTTTTCTCATCTTGAAGGTTGCCTGGACTTGTAAATATGTCAAGAGCAGAAAGTTAGGTCTCTTTCGCTTCATTCCTAGTACCTAACATAACATCCCCAATGTGCCTAGCGTAATATGTATCGCATAAATGTTTGCTAATTTGAAATGAAGTAAATGTAGTAAACTGCATTATTAACTCTAATTTTCCACCCTTCCCTGAACTCACACTCTTTGATATATGGCTTTTGCACCGTTTCCCACAAGAGAAATGAGATCTATGCTCTCCCTTGACTTTGAGTTCAGCCATGTGACTTTGGCCAGTAGAACGAGGTGGAAGAGACAGGGTGCCATTTCCAAGCCTAGGTCTCAAGAGCCCTTATATGTTTCCACCTCCTCTTTTATACATTTCCATCAGAAGGACATGCACGGCCGATCTTGCTGGTCACAGAAGGAAGGTGTGAGACACATGTGGCAGAGCTGCCCCAAGAAAGATGCCCAACCCTATCACAATCTTGATGAAAGTCCCCAGCTGATCCACAGAGACATAAGTGAGCCCAGCTGAGACCAGTTGGGGCCAAAAATCTAGATCAGACAACCCTCACCCATCCCACAGACATGTTCCAATTAGCTATTGCTGTGTAACAAAACACCTCAAACTTAGTGACTTAAAATAACCATTTACCATAGCTCATAATTTCATGGGTCAGGAATTTAAGCCTAGAAGTTTTCAGCTGGTGCATGAGCTGGTCTGGAGAGGCTTCACTACAAATCCAGTGGCTCAGTAAAGGTAGAAAAACGCTGAGCTCATCAAGGACAATAGTTTCCCTAACATGCTAGTCTCAAAAGAATCAAATTTCTTCAGTCATCAGTTTTCTTCAATCACAGTTCCCAAAGAGAGTGCTTCAAGAACATGGAAGCTGTCGATCTATTTAGGCTGTGCCTGAGAACTGACACCACAACACTTTCACTGACTTCTACCAGTTACAGGAGTCACAGAGGCTAGCCAGACTCCAAGGGAAAGGGCATAGACCCCATCTCTCAACGGAAGAAGAGTCAAATAATCTTTGGCCATCTTAAATCCACCACAGACACTCAAACTATAATTTGTAAGTCATGGAATGAGTTTGGGAAAGATTAGGCAGCAAAAGCTAACTATTACCAACAGTTCCAGCCTAACACTGTATTTGCTACCATCAAGACAAAAATGACTGAGCAGCTTCCAGGCAGCACCATCTCACCTCTACCCAGCAGCATGCATCCTATGTGCTCCTCCCCCTCATCAATTAGCCCCCATAGTCCTGGAAGTTGCACCCATTGAAAGTTCTTAAGCAGGAGCTGGGCCACCTCTTGTTGAAGTGCTCTTAGAAGGGATCTTGAAGATTCTTCAAACTTGAGTGCCCCTTCTAACCTTGAGAGTCTAAGACACGGTTTTATAACAGCAGACATTTTTTCAACGTATGAAAATTAGTTCATACCATAATATTTCATTCTAAATACAGGAAACATTACATTTCTTTTAATGATATACTCTTCTCTCTCATTAAGACAGTGTCTATGCTTAGGAGGACATTCTTTGAAGATTGGTTAGCTCTTTTCTCAAAATAAGTTAGGTATTTATACCAACTAAACAATGTATATTTGTAAGATGACTGGTATGTTTTATGCTGAGGT